GGAGATGTGCAGGAGACAGCTGATCGATGTTTCTCTCTCATCGATGTTTCTGACTCTCTATCTCTCTCCCTTCCTCTCTGTAAAAAAAATCAATAAAATATATTTAAAAAAAAAAAAAAAAGATAGAGTTGGCCAAAGATGGAATGGGTTGCTGAGAAGGCAGTGAGTGCCTTGTCACTGGAAGGATTCAAGAGAATGCCAGGGCGGAAGTGTCTGACCTTTAGGAGTCCTCTGGTCCCTAAAATTCCAGAATTCGGGATCCTGTCTTCCCCAGATCTCTCAACGCCTCTTTGTTTGATTCTCTCCAGGCCAATGACATCCTCATCCTCCGAAGCCATGAGCCCAACGCCCCTGGGTCTGCTGGTGGCCAGGCCTCAGAGAAGCCAAGGGAGGGGCCGGGGAAGCCACGAAGGGCACTGCCTTTTGCAGAGAAGAAGAAGAAAACAGAGACATTTAATAAGACCCAGAATCAGGAGAACACTTTCCCTTGTAAAAAATGTGGCAGGTAAGATGTGTCTCCATGGGGACCGAGGAGGGAGAGTGTTGGTGGTTGGTAGGCGGGTGGTAGGCGGGCAGGAGGAGGAGGTCGTCTGAGCTTCCGCCTTGTCTTCTGATTGGCTCAGAGGGTTTCTAGGGCTGTGATGTCACTCAGCAGAGAGGGAAGATGGCACTGAATTCGGAACTCATCTCTGCTTTAGTGGGAGGGTGGGAGTAGGCTTAGAGGCATTCGCCTAGTCAGGAAGAGTCAGGGACACCGCTCCCCCCAGCTTCTCCCCCCCCCCCCCCCACACACACACTCTAGCCTGGTGGCCCAGGGGGTGGGGACAGACCTCTTACTTGAGCCCTTCTTGCCTGGCTGCAGGGTGTTCTTCAAGGTGAAGAGCCGCAGCGCCCACATGAAGAGCCACGCAGAGCAGGAGAAGAAGGCTGCAGCTCTGAGGCAGAGGGAGAAAGAGGCTGCAGCAGCTGCGGCCGAGGCCGCTGCCTCCCCCCACCAGACGGAAAGCGCTGGAGAGAGGAGCTGAGGCCCAAGGCTCCGCCTGGAGACCCAGGACTGGCCCCTCGGCCTGGGCGCCCGGCTCTCCCTGCACCAGCCTTGTCAAAGCGCCGCAGGCACCCAGGAACTTACAGAGGGATCGAGGAGAGATCACGTGGACTTTTCTCCGAAAAACAAATAAGACAATAAAATAAACAGCTCTTTTATTTATAAAGGCCCCAGGAGCAGTGTTAAGGGCTGCAGGATCCAGTTCTCTGTGCATTCGGTCTGTCAGAAGTTGTCCTCATGTTTTCCTGGAACTATGAGCATCCCTGCTTGCTGGGGCTGCCCTCTGGGAGGGGCTCCAGCCGTTGCCTTGTTGCCACTGGTGCCTCTCACACTGGCTCCCCTGCTGCTGCGCAGTCTCGCTGCTTCCTCTGCCCCCAGCTCCCCTTGGTCACCACGGAGAGCCAAGCACAAGTTCACCCCCATTGTAGCATTATTCCTCCGCTCCAGAGGCCCTCCCCTAAGCTCTGGAAAAAGGGAGCTCAGCCCTGCAATCCCGTGTCCAGGCCTAAGCTGGTCCAGCGCTCCTGTCCTCACAGAGGCCTCCCCCTTTGCTACTTGCTAGCAGCCTTCTGGGGCTGGAATGTTTTCTTAAATGTTTGGGGAAAGGCCCGTGTTCCTGCCCAGGCTCTCAGCCTGCTGGAGGAAGGGGAGCTGTGAGGATGGGAGCTGCAGGGCTGGGCCTGAGGGCACTTTAGGTAAGCCTTGGCTCTTCCTGCTTCCCACCTTTTTTGCCAAATACCTTTGGGCCCTAGAGACTGCTAAGGGAGCTTAGCCCAGGCCCAGCCTGCCCCTCCTTGGTGCAGGTGTCCTGCTTGCCTCTGTCCTGGCCTTGGCAGCTGCCACCTAACCCCACCCCACCTGGTCCAGCGCTGATATCCACAGCCCAGCCCCTAGTCCTGCGTGCTGGAGATTTCTGGATCCTTCCCTGGGAGGGGGAGGTCTCCTAACCAGATTGGACAGGAGCCTTCATTCCTTGACTTGTGTCATTTGGGAGCTATTTATTTATTCTTAATATTTAATTTTTTAACATCCTCTCAGGGACCAGGGGCCACCTGCTTTCCAGAGGCCCAAGTGCATTTATCCCAAAACAAGGCACCTTCTTGGCATCTGCGCCACCCTCCTGTTCCCAAGACCCTACTGCCCCTCACACACTGCTCTGGAAGCTCTTGCCAATAGGAATGATAGTGCCTGCTGAAAGAGGGTGGGAAGGTGGAAGGTGTCACACCTAGAGTAGCAGGAGCAAGGGGATCAAAGGCAGTTCTTGTTGCTACCTCTTCTCTAGCTGTGCTTGCAAATCGCCTGAGAGGATTGGCTGGAGGCCAGAATTCTGGTTTGTTTCTGGCTTGAAGAAGCCATATTTGGCACGGAGTCCCTAATGAAAGGACTGGAAGATTCTGGAGGCCCCTTCACTTGCCAGTCCCACAGGAGGGCTGAGTTATTTTTCTGATCTTGTCCCTCAACTGTCATTGTGTAAAAGAAGTTCAACGTGAATGCAAGGAAAAGGCTGGCCAACATGTTAGGAAGGAGCCAAAAAGCATTCTGCTAACTCATGAGGTAGCTGGGGGTAGGGAGAAAGGTTTTGTTTCTAAACTATGCACTATCAGGTATTTTTCAGCATTCATGCATTTATATGGTTCTATAAGATCCCAGCTACAGGAGCAACAAAATTCTCCCCCCAGGCTCCTGGACAACTACCTAGATTTCCAACTTCCCAGTTAATTTCCCCCATAAGCTTCTACAAACTCCGTATCCCAAGATTGCAAACATCTGGCATACCCTCCAGACATAGGAAGGTAGCAAATTTAGTCTCTCTTCTAAATCACTTGTGTAATATGAGTGCCTTCGCAGCTTTGCCCCAAAGTGCTACTTACGTTTCCCAAGGTTTTTTCTATTTAAATTGTATTTTGTTTCAGGCCTCCTTATGGACATGCTATAACAAATCTCCTTTGTCTAGAGAGTGATTCTCCTTTTTCTAAACCCATGGAGACAAGACCAGGTGAATGTAGGTGGAGAAAATAAAAATGGTACCTCTCTGTATTAGTCCCACCACAACGCGGCATTTTAGAAGGAAGGGTTCGTGCTCCAGGATGGATTTATATCTAGAATGCACTGTGAAAGTTAACATGCTTAGAGGGCAGATGCAATTGCGGCACGCGACCTGCCAATTAAGTAGGTGCAGCCATAGGAGCTGGCTTAAGTATACGTCCTTTACGGTGCTTTCTCCCTGTGAACACATTAGGCTCATCTTTAGTTGTTTTTTTTCTTCTACTCGGCGCTCTTTGCTTTAAGAAGTTAAAAATGACAAACACCTCCAGCTTCATAATGCCCTCCCACACCGTCTCACATAGCCGTCTCCCAGCCTCCATCTGCCCTCGGCAAGGGCATGAAACTAACCTAGTGCCTGTATTTCCAGACCATTTCTGAGGTCTCTCACCCACCTGAGGACACAGTGCTTCGGAACTGTCCTCCATGCCTTCAGCAGCCCCCTTCCCAGCGGAGGTACACACCCATCCCTCCTGCCGCCCCACCTCCACCCCTGGCACAGAGGTCGTGTGCTGCTTATGTCTAAAGGGATCCCCTATACTTAACTGCCTCAGTGACCTAACCTCTTTCTTCTCATGTGCCAGAGGTTAAGTTGAAGGAGGACTACAACTTATACTCAAGCCCGAACTGTTTAAATATGCTTTCACTGGGGCAGACTGTTCTTGGATGGTATTTATTACCAGACTGGCCAAGCCTATTAGGTTTACAGGAAGTATGCATACTTTTATAAAACAGTTGTATGTCCTCCACTATTTTGCTGTGTTAATCTTTGCCTCTGATCATTTGCAGCTGTTTCACCTTTTTCTCATTTGTCTCTCAGTTGAAGGCCTTGTTGGAGGGAACAGCACAGGAACAGCCTTGACAGTCTGTAATTATTGTATAAATATTTTAATAGCATATAAATAACTATATTCCTTTTATTTTGAAAAAAAATGATCAGACACTGCCTTTTGTGTGTTTGCTGCCTGTGGCACCCTTTTTTAAAAGACTGTTACATATTAAAATAGTGTACATATATATAAATATTACCTCTTTTGCTGTACAGTTGTGATAGACCAGACTGAAGATTTTATTTTTTGTGTGCTTTTTATAAAAAAAAAATTAATACACTAAAGAAAATCTTGCTGATGTGATTGTAATGTATCTATGTAACTTATTTACTTTTGAATGTTCTTCTGTATCTTTAAACCTTTTATTAAATAAGGTTTTAAAAATTCAGAGTTGAATGCTGTGTTCTTTAGGGGAGATATTCACCATCTGGGATTGACGTAAGTAGGCCTTGTTTTGCTTGCGGGGATTACTGGACATTTTTGAACCATAAGGATTCTGTTTTATCAGCCCATTGTCAATGATGTCAGAACTGGAGAGCTTAACACACCAGCATTTTCCTGGCTACAAAGGTTACTGAATATAAATCTTTTAACAAAATTTAAGAGCAATCTCAATTCACTGTCTCACACAAAAAAAACACGTAAATGGCACTCTTCCAAATTTTAGTTTCATTTGGATGAAATATGGAGGGTGGAGAATGCGATAAGGAAGCCCCGTGGCTGAAGAAGGTGTTTTCATGTTGAACCAGCCACAGTAGACACGTTCGTCTTAACGGACGCATTTTCAACAGTATCATCTTAAATCCACTGTATTATTATTATCTTTTAAACGCGGTGCTTTGTTTAAAAAAAACAAAAGCAAAAAAAAACACCTGCGGAAAATATGGAAAAAGAAATGAGCCATCAGAGAAACCAGAGCCTCTGACTGTCACCATGGCAACCACTGGACACCCCCCCCACCCCACCCCCCGCGGGCGGCGGGAGCGCGCGGAGCTCCGGGCCTCTCGGGCGCCGTTGCCATGACTACACTGGCGCTGGCTGGGCCGCGGGGCGCGCGGACGCCACGCACTGGGCCGGCCCCGCCCTCCACTGCGGCAGTAACTGCTCGGCTGGCTGCGGGGCGGACCGTCCAGCGGCTGCTGAGCGCAGCCCTCCGCAGCCCGCCGCCGCTGCCTAACCCGCCACAACCGCCGCCCTCCTCGCCGCCCAGCGGGCTCCCTGCGCCGCGAAGACGCTCCTAGCGGACTGACCCTGCCGCCGCCGCTGCGACCTCAGGACAGACAGCCACTCCCTCCGGGGGCAGCACAGCCCTCGGCCGCCCGAACGCCCGGCTCCGACCGCGAACCCCGCGTCGACTCCGGGAGCAGCGACTGCCCCGCGCCGGGCGGCGGAGAGGAGGCGGCCACGCCCCACCCCCGCGCCCCGGCGGCCTCTCCAGCCCGGCGGCTCCCGCCCTCGCCACCGCCCTCGCCCCGAGCCTTCCCGCCACAAGGCCGCACCGCGCCTGCAGGCGGAGGACCCCGGCCGCGGACCCCGAGGAGGCGCAAGATGGCGGCGGCCGCGTGACTGGCGGACCGAGCCTGACCGACGCTGCGCCCCGAGGACCGCCGGCCGACTGCCTGGGGCAGCGCAGGTTCGACTCCGGGCCTGGCGCCGGTGGCGAACGGCGGCGACGTCCAGCTCGCCTCCCTCGGGCGTCTCGGGGGGAGTGTCTGCCGTGGTCCTCGGCCCGGGGGCGCGGGGAGCCGGTCTGACCCGTGTCTGTGGAGTGGGGCCCCAGGGAGTGGGAAGATGGCGATGACGCTGTTGGAGGACTGGTGCCGGGGGATGGACGTGAACTCCCAGAGAGCCCTGCTGGTCTGGGGGATCCCGGTGAACTGCGACGAGGCCGAGATCGAAGAGACCCTGCAGGCGGCGATGCCCCAGGTGCCCTACCGCGTGCTGGGGAGGATGTTCTGGAGGGAAGAGAACGCGAAGGCGGCCTTGCTGGAGCTCACGGGCGCCGTGGACTACGCGGCCATCCCCCGGGAGATGCCGGGGAAAGGCGGGGTCTGGAAGGTGGTCTTCAAGCCCCCGACCTCCGATGCGGAGTTCTTAGAGAGGCTGCACCTCTTCCTGGCGAGGGAGGGCTGGACCGTGCAGGACGTTGCCCGCGTCCTGGGGTTTCAGACCCCCGCTCCGGCCCCGGGCCCCGACATGCCCGCGGAGATGCTCAACTATATCTTGGATAACGTGATCCAGCCTCTTGTGGAGTCCATTTGGTACAAGAAGCTGACGGTGTTCTCGGGGAGGGACATCCCGGGGCCCGGGGAGGAGACCTTCGATTCCTGGCTGGAGCACACGAATGAGGTCATAGGGGAGTGGCAGGTGTCTGATGTAGAAAAGAGGCGGCGGCTGATGGAGAGCCTCAGAGGCCCCGCCGCGGATGTCATCCGCATCCTCAAAACCAACAACCCTGCCATCACCACCGCCGAGTGCCTGAAGGCGCTGGAGCAGGTGTTCGGGAGCGTGGAGAGTTCTAGGGATGCGCAGGTCAGGTTTCTGAACACCTACCAGAACCCAGGGGAAAAGCTATCGGCTTATGTCATTCGTCTGGAGCCGCTGCTGCAGAAGGTGGTGGAGAAGGGGGCCATAGATAAAGATAACGTGAACCAGGCGCGCCTGGAGCAGGTCATTGCCGGCGCCAACCACAGCGGGGCCATTCGAAGGCAGCTGTGGCTGACCGGGGCTGCGGAGGGGCCGGCGCCTAACCTCTTCCAGTTGCTGGTGCAGATCCGCGAGGAGGAGGCCAAGGAGGAGGAGGAGGAGGCTGAGGCTGCCCTCCTGCAGTTAGGCCTGGAGGGGCACTTCTGAGACGAGGGAAGTGGCGTTTGAGTGCAGACCTAGGTAACAGCTTCTTTGCGCTGTCTTACAGGTGTGTCTCTTAGTCAAGGCCTGTTTCTGGGGGGAGGTCAAGGCCTGCATATGCATGTAACATTAGTGAAGTTGTGCAAGGGAGCACCCTGAGCTGCTGTAAGTGTCATGCTAGCATGCTGAAATGCCAGGTAAAGGCTTGGACAGGTGCTCAGTGCAAGCTGTCATCTTGACATCAGTTGTGAAAAAATGTGAAACTTGTGAGACTTCTCATCGAGATATTTAAATGTGAAATTGCATGTTCAGATGTTTAGTTCAGAGCCTGGCTAACACAAGAAGTGCTCAGTAAAAATAGGAGCTGTTATTAATAACGTGAATAGTTTTTCTGTTTGATGCAAATTGTTCCTGATTTATATTGGTAAGAAGAAATGTGAACTAGATATTCGTAGTGGTTCAACTTTACAGTGCTGTTTCTTATTTTTCATCTGTAAACATCAGGATCAGTTTAATTGGAAAGTATCCTGAGACTACAAAATAGTGTATTAGAAAAGTACAATTATAGAGCTGTGTAAACTAAAATTTTCACTGTACAAGATATAAATCGCATGGAAGGTTAATATGAACCAGTTACAGTATCCATTCCCCTATTTCAAATCCTTGTTGATTTGTATTTCTCTTTGTGCCGGTTCTAAGTGTTCTAAGTTTGAAGTTATCAAATACATGTACACAAATAAAATATATTTAAAAATTCTAGTCTCATTTTCTGATGTATAAAAAATTTTCAGTGTAATTAAAATCTGTATCTTTTCTTAGACTTCAAGTCACTAAAGAAAATCAAACCTCAAGTAAATATGAACTTACTATAAAATGTTAGGAAATCCAGAAATGGGGTTTAGAGGTTACCCAGCATTTTTTCCTCCCCTTCTAAGTTCCTTTCAGCTAAAAGTGTTTTGCTGCAGGGATAATTCATACCTGTGTAAAATGAATGTTTCAGTTTTACAGCAGCCATTTTATATCAAGAGGATATAAAAAGGGAAATATGGCTTAAGAACATGTTTATTTGGCTACAGAGATTCAGTGACTGAAGATGTCCATCTTTTGAGATCCAGGTCCTAGTCAATCCAGAAGTGGTTACATAAACAATGTTCAGTGGAGATTTTCCCCCAGTAACAAGGCTTGAAAATTAAAGCCAACCAACCAAATAAACAATAAAACGATAGCCAACCTGTTAGAACAATCATAAGGTAAAAATTATTCATAAAGGCTAGTATTTGTATATGTTCTAACAGATGTCTCTATACACTCATCTCACTTCCTTCAGTCTCTTCTCTCTGCACATCTCCACATATTTGACTCCCACAACAGAAAGGCAAATCTTCACTCCCCACAGACATGTCCTCATTCCCCCTCTCCCCCATTCACATCTCACATGGCTTCCCCTCCATCGCCCCCCCCCCCCCCAACAATGTGCTGGATACACATACACTCCCCTCACCTCTCACAATGCTATTTCATACATTCACTCCCACCTTCCCCAGAACACTCTATCATAAACATGCTTCCCCTTCTATACCAGTATCCCACCCCTGTCATACATTCCCATTTCTCCACATACATGTTCACACTCCTACTCTATACATACACTCATAAAAACAAATAATGGGTTCATTTTTTAACCCAATATGTTATGGGCATCCTATACCTGCACATAGGAATGGATATACCTTCTTTTTATAGGTGCAGTGTTGATTGCATTTTAGGAGGGAGGGTCATCACCTAGGATTCTCGTATTATATATAACAATTGTATATATGTGCACACCCATAAATACTTAATACAACACAAGTATATGGTATAAAACATTATCAGGATTTTAGATGTCCATCCTTTGTTCTAAAAAGCAATGAACTAAAAATAATGAACTATTTATAATTCAAATTAAGGTTTTCTCTATGGTTTCATTACAATCTGCTTTTTAAAGGAGGACAGTAGCAAGAAATATATCCTTATAACCAAAGAACTACGGAATAAAGAAGTAGACTGTCAAACTACAGGGGGAAGATAGGGGAGGGTTGGGGGGTAAGAGATCAACCGAAGGACTTGTATGCATGCATATAAGCACAACCAATAGACGCAAGACACTGGAAGGATTTGGGGGAGGGCAAGTATCCCGGGGTAGGAGAGGCGGGGGGGAGGGGGGTAATGGGGGGGGGAGACATGTACTATTTGTAATACCTTAAATTTTGTTTAATATATTTTATTGATTTTTTTACAGAGAGGAAGGGAGAGGGATAGAGTGTTAGAAACATTGATCCGCTGCCTCCTGCACACCCCCTACTGGGTATGTGCCGGCAATCAAGGTACATGCCCTTGATCAGAATCAAACCTGGGATCTTTGAGTCCACAGGCCGACGTTCTATCCATTGAGCCAAACCAGTTAGGGCAGATTTTTAAAAATAAAGTAGAAACTGCACTGTAGGTCTTATTCTGTGACCAAAATAACATTTGCCTGGCAGCGCAGAATATGTGCTGGGAAAATGTGTAATGTTACTGCTAGTGCTCAGTTCTTACTGTTTCTTGTCTGAGGTTATTCCAGACCACAAATCAAGGGCTCATCAGCCAACCTTAACCTTGTACACTTCCAGAACTAAGGAAAGGACTAGGAGTGGTGAAGTGCAGCAGTAACTTGCTGTACCTGTAGCACTCTTTCTAGGATCCTAATCATTTTGAAATGGTGCCCAGAGAACTGAAGAAGATTTACAGACCCAGAGAGAAAATTATCATTGGAAATGAGCTACTGGGGGAGAGGGGAGAGGGGGATAAAGAAATGAGTCAGTCTCTCCCTCACTCACACATGTACACACACACACACACACACACACACACACACACACACGAAGCTGTGGAATATGTTATCCAAAGACAATTATTTTGGAATTGAATATTCAAAGTTTAGATAGTGCTCTTTATTAGCTAAAATTAATGGTTATGTAACAAAAAAAGATACAAATTATTTTTTTATAAAATAACACAATTTATTACTATTTTAAAACAAGTCTCACAAAATAACGTTCAGAAACTCAACATTTCTAAATAATTTAACACAATAACTTTAGTCATAAAGTTCATGCTACAAAATTCCTGCATATAAAAGATAATTACCAAAGTATTAATAGATGTTAATAGATGTTAAAATGTTCTTCAGAATGGAGTTGGTTCTAGAAGCCAAAGATTCTGGAATGATGCTCGTGATCATGACTGCCCCGCTGGGAGAAGTAGCTGGCAAAAGTATGTTCCTTACAGCTACCACCCCCCCCCCCCCCAAGGATGTTGATGGGATTGATCCCTCGAGGCAATCGCACCTCAGAGGCAGGGATCCTGCTGATCAAAGAAGCAAATAACTTCCTACCCTCCCTAACATTAGCCACAACTTAATTTAGCCAATATCTAAATTTTTAAAATCTAGATGTAGGAAAGATAACTCATAAGGTTTCTGAGCAGGAGAATCTGTACTGACACGTCCCCGCAAGGCTGACTGCCAATGCAGTAGACATGGAAGGCGACACCAACTAGGGGAATAGGGGAATCCCAACTCTGATTATGTCAACAGACAACTGCAGAGGTGGGCCTAATGCGAGCAAGAATGGGTTTGATTCTAATATCCACATGCAGGCAAGGTATTTACCTATCTGCCCTTTGGGAGTATTTTCAACCAACATCCATTTCATAATCTTAAAGTGCAAATCTACTGAAAAATAGTGTACTCTCCCCATCCCTTTGTTCAATTTGCAGATCATAATTTGGTTGGCTGGTTCCTCTCTAACCTGCCCAATATGGGAAATTAACTAGAATCCAGTTATGACTTTTCCACGTGTCAAGTGAAAATTTATCTTAAGTCAGAAAAGGTAAGACTCAGTTTAGTTTTTCCTTTCAGTTTTCTTCCTTTGCAGTCACTGGTTTATAAAAAGGCAGGAATAGAGATATAGATGTGAAATTTCTAAAGGTCAGTGATTTTCTAAAAAATACCCTTAAATTTTTTCATTGCACCTATTTTATGGTTTTACAAAAAACAACTCAAGCTAGAGGGAAGATAAAGGAATATGGTCAAGTTAGCTGTGTCAGAAACACCAACTCTGCTACACTACAGCTTGCTTTATACTTGACTATTTACAGACACAGTAAGCAGCCCAGGTTAGCTGTTAGCTTTCTCCCTTTACCACCACTTACAATGTAAAGTCTTTGTGACTAAGTCAGACTGCAGTTAGACACAACTTGTGATCGATGCTTGACAGTTCCCCCAATGTTTAAAGTTAATGACTAAATCCAACCTTTCTAGCTCTACACTTTCCCCATTTAGTCCCAGGAAAAGCCCAGGCAAAAGATTCGGGGTCACATACTCTACTTACATATCACCCATTCTGACAAGAAGTCAACAATTAAAATTCATTTCTCATTCCTCCTTAGTCTACTTCAGCCCACGGGTGAAAGTATCAGAAGAGCATCTGTTCAAGTCAAAATTTCTCTTTCCAAACAGGAACCACATTTAAGTGCTTACACCACCCCTATTTGTGGAATGGATCCAGTAACCAGACCTGCTTCTTCTGATCACATCCAAAACTGGTGTCTACACCAGCTAACTTTCATATATGATTACCAAATTTTATACAATATTTTTCTGTATTTAATGACTGCTAGTCTTTAAAATCCTGTGCATGACTCGACAATGAATGAACACTTAAAAAATGACATGCATTTTCTAAAGTATACTTAAAATGTTAAATTTTAGAGACAAAGCAAAATCTACCATAAACTTGGATTCTGTTGATAGTAAGAGAGAGGTAGGTTAATAATCATTATCCTAAGACAAGCAAAATGCTAAGTAAGATAAGATGTAAAAGTTGAGGTCCTGCTGGGGGGGAAAATAAGTCGAACTCTCCAGTCCTGAGTTTCTAATGTGTTGTGAGAATTGTTAAAGTGAGCATTACAAAGAAGGGAAACACCAATGATCATTTCCTTCCCCCATGATTACTAAACACACCACCTTCTCTCCTGTAACAACTCAGGTGCCATATGGCTACAGAGTGAGAATAAATGGGCACTGGACAAAAGGAATGTTGGAGTAAAGCACTGGTTCTTAACTAAGGGTGGATTTATTCCAGTCCATCTAGCCCAGGGGACAAATGGCAACACATGAAGACATTTCTGGTTATCACAACTGAGAGGAGGGTTCTTCTAGTAAGTAGAAGCCAGACATGCTGCTAAACATCCTGTACACACAGGACAGCCCTCCAACATTATCAAGCCCAAATGTTGATAGTGCCAAGGTTGACTCTGATTTAAAGGAACCAACTCCTATTAACAGAGAACACAAAAACGTTCAAGGCCTGACTAGGTAATACAGATAGCCATAAGCTTAGAGTTAGGGAACACAGAAAAGGTTAATTACTTGGTAGACTAAAATTTCCTGTGGAAATATTAAAATACTGAACTGATTCCAGAGCTCTACCATCATTACAAGAATAGAAGAAATTTAAATGATCCACTAAAATGGCATAATGCTTCAAACCAGGAGCACAGAGAGAATCCATTACAAGTAGGTTAAAGATCTAACCCAAAAAGCACAAATTAAAGGCATTTAATATCAGCTAAATTTGCAGCAGTAAAGGATGAGTTAAGGAATGATTTGAGAGAATACTCTGAACTTCTTAATACACTCTATCTTCTATTTTCTATCTTCTGTTTCCTAGT